CCGACCTGGCCGTGTGTGATGCGGGCAAGCGTCGCGTGGGCGTGCACGGCTCTGAAGCCTCGCCTTCGGCCTTTCCCTAATTCGCTCCCCTGGTGCCTTACGCGTCCGAATTTTGTCGCGCCGGGCTGAGTCCTGCTTCTGAAAATTTGCCCCCTCTGGGAAGGAGCCGGAACGCAGAGCGCCGAGTGTAAAGTTCCAAAATAGAAAGAAAACAGACAACCCAAGGGAGGGATGGGAAGTTCCACACTCACTGCTTGGGGCACTTGATGAAAAGCACGTCCGCTTGTCCTTTCAGGACCACCCATACAGCTCGCGGGTTTGAGGTCGCAAGAGCCAAGATGGTGGCGTTTGGACATCCCAACCATCACACAAGACAGCCTGTAGGTGGTGGCGGGACGGCGCAGTGTTTGTGGCACTCGGCAGTACGGGCACCCGCGGCACGGCCCCGCTGTCGGCGGCTCTCGCGGGCTGCGGAACCGGCCCCAGAGGGGGACGGTCCGGGCGAGTGTGGCAGCTCCTGCGCTAGTATGGGCACCCTCTATCATAGCACTACTGATCCTGGTCATTAGAGCTGCCAGGGATAGCGTCAGGAGCCGGTAGGAGTAAAAACCCGTCATATTTTTTGAGACATCGTGTCCCACATATACGGTTGGGCTAAGTTTCTCCGAGACCTCGGGAGCGGGCCGGTTATTCACACCTCGGCAGTGTGGTCCATATACTCGCACAACGGAAGCGGCTCAAGGAGAAGGCGAGGAAGGGGCGGCGCGCTGCAGAGGCGGCGGGCGAGCCGGAGGTGGCGCCATCGCCGGCGCCGCCGCCGGTGTTCAAGACGCTCAGGGAGAAGAAGGCGGCTCAGGCGTCAGCGGAGGGCTGGGCGGCGGAGGTGGCGAGGGCCGAGGAGCTCTACGAGGAGCTGCGCGAGCGCGCGCCCCAGCACTGCCGCCGTGGCGGCAAGTGGGCGCGCGAGAAGTTCGTGATGGCGGTGCAGGGAGAGTTCCCACGCGCGCGAGGGGCAGGCGTTCCCAAGGGGACGGTCCTGTGCCTCGGCAGGGTGCTCGACGCGCACGATGAGCAGGATGACGCGGAGGGTGGGCACCGGGACTGGGAGGAGGACCCGCTCGGGTTCGACACCAACCCGATGCTGCTCCGCGCCATGTGCATGGCGTTCGAGTGAACGCCGTGCAGGCAGCCTGTGCCTTTTGGTGTACCCCGTTTGTACCGCGTCCTGTGCCCCCGAGTTCATTTAATAAAAAACGAGCCGGCTTTACCACATGGCATGTACCAACGATTGTGAATTTCGGGAAAAATGTACAAAAAACCTAAAGTAAGCACCGAAGGAAAGGCGGAAATACTCGAGTAGAGGGAGCGGACCAGCGGACCGTGAGTTGAGGAAATCGGAGGACGCGACCCACTTCGCCACAGACGGTCCCGCGCCTCGCCGCTATGACGGGTAGACGACCGCGGCTCGTGTGCGTGTACCCGTCTTTGTCCGGAGTGAAAAGTCCAACGCGCTCGTCGGTGACGGTGTCCTCCAACCTGCGCCGGGCTCGGCGAACCTCGACAGCGCCTTCGATGGCATGCAGCTCTTTGCGTCAGAAGCCTGGAGAGCAGCTCCTCGGCTGCTCGCACGCTCTGCACAGTTGACACAGCCTACTGTGCGGCTACCACAGCTGTGACAGCGATGGGCTCGCCCTCACTGGCCCTCAGTCACTTGTGCTGCGGCTTGTGTGAGCGACACTGCTCGGCGACTGCCGGCACACTGTGAGACCATGGGTGTGAGGTAAAACCACGCTACCAGCGCTTGGTCACATCGGCCCCGAGGTCAGATCCTTCTACTCTGTTAGTGACAAGACTTGTCTACTGGCTGGAGCCGAGCAGGAGGGCCCGGCGCACAACCCCTGGTCAACTCACGGTCCACACCCCGTATATTAACCTATATTGCTCAAACAAGTGCAGCGGTCTCACAAAGGACTAGGGGCAATCACTGTCAAAGCTCAAACTGACACACTGACACACGACGTACGCAGAAGCAGCAACCCCCTCACATATATTTTACACGTGGCACTTCGAAAAGGCAAGCACACTCAGGCAACTTCCACGTGTTGACTGAAGTTGCCCCTCCGAGGCACGCTCGCACGGAGCTTGCGCACGCCAGAGAGCCAAGCGACCGCATGTGTCGGAGGACTAGTCACTCCGTCCCTCGCGGCGGCTCACCCCCCTGCGGCTCCAGCCCCGCCAACGCCTCGCACACCGCCGCCTCCGCCGCCTCCTCCTCCGCCGCCGCCACGCCGAACGCCTCTCGCGCCGCCTCCGCCGCCTCCGCCGCCTCCTCGCTCCGCCGCACCGCCGCCTCGTACACGCGCAGCGTCGACTTGAGCGCAGACTCGAGCGCGTCGCACCTGCCGAGAGCTTCCGCGGCCGCCTCCTCCGGCGCAGCCGCCTGGCGGGGCAAGTAAGGCCAGGTCAGGTTCACTTCTCCACACACACGAGGTGGTGGGGCAAGGGCGGGGCGACCCTCGCGACTCCACCTCTGAAAGGCAGGAGCCGAGGGAGTGTCCAGGAAGTGTCTATGGCGCCGCTCAAGCTCGGATCTCCGCTAAATCTCCGCTGCATCTCCACTGCATCTCCGCTACATTTCCACTACATCTCCGCTATATTTGCCGCCTTTCGCCGCTCAAGCTCGGCGGTGTCGATCTTGTCGTTTGCCCAGTCAGCGAGCACCGGTGCCAAAATCTCCTGCACACGCCTCTCCAGCACCTCGCCGCCGCCGCCGCTGCGCGCCGCCGCCGCGGCGGCAGTCGCCCTCGCCGCGCGCTCCTCGATCTGCTGCAGCCGCACCCTGCGCGCCGGGGAAGCGGAGCGAGCCTAAACTCTCGACCTCGTGTGATCTTCGGGGAATCTCCCGCCTTGCACGCCAGGCCAGAGCGGCGAGCTCGCCCGCGCGCGCCCGCGCCGTGAGCCGGGGTCGGCCGCACCATCTCGGACAATCTCGGGTGACCTCGGGCGATCTCGGCTGCGACGCGAGTCGGACACGGCTGCCTCCGCCTCCTCCGCCGCCCCCGCTGTTGCCTCCGCCGCCGCCTCCGCCTCCGCGCCCGCTGCTGCCTCTGCCTCCGCCTCTCCCTCCGCTGCTGCCTCCGCCTCCGCTGCTGCCGCTGCTCTGCCGCTGGGGTGCCGATCCTGTGCCCCCCACGGGGCGACCGAGTTGGCGCTCGTCCCGCTGCTGACGAGTTCGTGCGGGCCGAGCGCCTTGCGCCCGCCCCCATACCCGTCCGGGCTGCCGCTGCGCTCTCGCCTTGCTCTTGTCGGTGTCGCCTTCCACGGCCGCTCCCCTTCACGACGCGTCGGGCCCAGCAGGAAGACCCGGCCTTCTCCCTCCCACGCCTCCTCCTCTCCCTCTGCAGACGCGTCCTCGACGCACAAGGTGCCGACCGCATAGTGCCGCCCGCCGACCGTGCGCCACCCGACGGTCCACACGCCGCCCTCTCCGTCCCACCAGACGATCTTGTTCGGGTCGCCCACCTGCTCGTAATACCCGTGCCTCTGGTACTTGTTTTTCCCGCTGTGCCCAAACACGCCCTTTCGGTAAATGCCCAAGTACGGCGCCGCGTCGGCCGCGTCGGTGCTGACGAGGCAGATCTTGTCCGCCATGTGCTGGATGCCCGCGGGCGCCACCTTTGCCGGCCGGAACATCGCATCGTGCACCGGCTCATGAGACTGCATGCAGGGAGGTAGGCCACAGCCGCGCCGGCCATTGGGAGCACCACGCAGGAGCGCCGTGTAGCAGGGCGCGACGAGCCAGGCGAATGCAAACATCAAAGTGCAGCCGGCCGGTAGCGCTGGCGGCGCCACACAAAGGTGGAGGAGAATTTTCTTCTATTTTCTCTCGGAAGCAAGAGCCGCTCAGCGTTCCTTGTCTGACCCGACCTCTCTTGCCCCGCCCGAGCATGATGGCATTCGCACGCAAGGCACTCGCGCGCCGCCCTGCCTAGACTCCCCTCTCCCGGCCGGGGTGGCCGCGCGGGAGCCAGTCATCGAAGCTCAAAAGAAGCTTTTCTACCCCCAGCCGACTCCGCGTGAACTCTCGAGGGTTTAGCTAGAACTCTGTTCACACCGAGCAGCTGGGAGTGGCAGCAGGAGCCTTCGCCAACTAAAAAACACAGCACCGATGCCGACTTAGTGTGGGGAGGGTCGGCGAGCACTCACTCACTAGGCGGCGCCGCAGGGCCGGGGCACTGGCCACGGCCTCGCCGACCACTAGAAGGCGGCCCACCCACTACGCGCACTATCTTAGTGCGCGGGGTGGCAGGAGGCACCCACTAGCCCGCTCGCCGGCGGCCCACTCACTACGCGCACTATCTTAGTGCGCGGGGTGGCAGGAGGCACTCACCCACTAGCCCGCTCGCCGGCGGCCCACTCACTACCCTACGCGCACCAACTTAGTGCGCGTGGTAGCTGAGCCCACCTCTCCGTCCGCCGGCGAAGGGCACTGCGAGCGGCCCGCTGGACCACTCCCCCCCGGCCGGCCGGAGACACTCACTTCCGCACAATAAGTTAGTGCGGTAGTGCGCGTAGTAGCCGAGCCCGCCTCCGTCCGCCGGCGAAGGGCACTACGAGCGGCCCGCCGGACCACTCCCCTCGCGGCCGGCCGGAGGCACTCACTTCCGCACACTAAGTTAGTGCGCGTAGTGTCCCGGCCTCCGACCACGACTCCCGGGGGAGCACTTCACCACTTGATCCGCCACGGCGCACCACTAGCCCTCGTCCAGCTCACAGACTAACTTGCGCCGACTTAGTTCCCCGCAGGGCCCGGGACCACTCACTCACTGCGGCATCAGTGCTCTTCACACGACCTGGCGAAGGCTCCTGGTGGCAGGGCCGGCGCCCGAAACAAGCAGAGAGAGAGAGAGCAACCGAAAGCTGCCGAGGATACAAAGATGATGTGCGGCGATGCGCGTGAAAGCCCAACGTCCCCGCTCCCCGCGTCCGTGTCTGCGCCCGGCAGCACGAGCGTGGCCGCGCTGATCGCCGATGCCGACGGGGGTGCACTGGGTGAGCGGCTAGCGGCGATGGGCCTCGACGCCTCGCGCTCGTCCAGCTTTGCGGCGGCGGCGGCGCGACTGCTTGCCGCCGGCGTGGCGCCCGAGACTCGCGCGACCGCCTTCTGGGTGCCCGGCCGCATCGAGGTGCTCGGCAAGCACACCGACTACGCGGGCGGCCGGAGCCTGCTCTGTGCCGTCAACCGCGGCTTCTCTGTCGTCGCCGCCGACCGCGACGACGCCGTCCTTCGCGTCTTCGCCTCGTTCGAGCTCACCGGCGAGGCCGACGTGGCCGAGGTGGCGCTCGCGGCGGCGCCCGAGGCCGCGTCGCCTGCCGGCTGGGCCGTGTACCCGGCGGTGACCGCCCGCCGGCTCGCGCGCAACTTTGGCATTCGCGGCAGTGTCTAGGAAGTGTCCATGAAGTGTCTAGGCAGTGTCTAGGCTTGCGCGCAACTTTGGCATTCGCGGCGGGGTCGATCTGGCGCTGAGCTGCGACCTGCCCGAGGCGTCGGGAATGTCGTCCTCGTCGGCAGTTGTCATCGCCACCTTCCTCTGCCTGAGCGCGCGGAACCGCCTCTCCGCCCAGCTGCGCGCCCGGCTGCCGACGGCCGAAGCGCTCTGCCACTACCTCGGCTGCGTCGAGAATGGGCAGGACTGTGGCCACGAGCTTCCGGGCGACGCGGGGGTCGGCACGTTCGGCGGCTCGGAGGACCACACCGCGATCCTCCTCTCCCGGCGCGCCGAGCTCCGCGTCTACGCCTTCTGCCCGACCGCGCTCGAGGCGCCCCTCCCTCTTCACAAGTCCCACGCCTCACCCCCCCCGCACCCCCCGCCGAGCGACGCCGGGTCATTCCCTGTTTACTGCTTCGTGGACGGCTCCTCCCTCCCCTCCTCCCTCCCCTCCTCCACCCCCGACCCACGCGTCGTTGGTGGCCAGCCGATAGTACCACCCCGCCTCTCTCCGTTCTTGGCCGCCGTCGACGGACGGCACGGCCTCACCAAACTCGAGTCGCCTTGCCGCCTGCCCGCCGGCACGGCAGTGTCTAGGAAGTGTCTAGGAAGTGTCTAGGAAAGTGTCGCCTTGCCGCCTGCCCACCGGCCCCGCATCCCCGCACAGACTCGTAGCATCGGTCCGATCGCAGGGCGGCGTGGTCACTGGTGTAAGCAGGCGCCCATAAGCAGGCGCCCACCTCACGACGCCATCTCGCATGCCCTCCCAGGCCACCCTCCCCTCGCCGCCCTCCCTGACTTGGCTCATCGCTGTCTCGGGCGCGACGGCCCGAAAGGGCGCCGAGCGACTCGCAGAGTACAACAACGCCGCGCTGCTCGCGCGGGCAGCCGCCGCGGCGGCCGCGGCGCCGGGCACCGAAGGCGTTGCGAGCGGGCTGGACGCTCGCTGTCCGGGCGCCGGCGGCGGCTGTCTGCGCGCGGGCGGCCCCGCCGGCTCTGCAGGTGTGAAGAGACGCTGTTCACAGCCGCCGCCCACGCTCGCATCGGTGACGGCGGCGGCGGCGGCGGAGCTGGGGCTGCCTCGGTCGGACCAAGGCGTGCGGCGGGCGGTGCTCGCCCGCATTGCGTGCGCCGACCGCGGCGGCGGCCCCTCGGGCTTTCCGGCGGGCGCGCTGGCGAGGCGTTTCTCCCTCTCCCTCTCTTTCTCTCTCTCTCTCTCTCTCTCTCTCTCTCACACACACGCACGCACGCACGCACACACACACACACACACACACACACACACACACACTCACACACACACACTCACACTCCTCTCTCTCTCTCTCTCCCACTCACTCACTCTCTCTCTCTTCCTCTCCCTCTCCCTCTTCCTCTCCCTCCCTCCCTCCCTCCCTCTT